GACACAAAAACGTCCACGTTTCCGGCAGCCGATTAAGGTTTGTTCAAGCAAGCATTTTATCGTATATGGTATTGCAAATATTTTTAGCATGGATATTCTAGTTAATGGATAATGAACTTATGGATGAGTTATAAAGTGATTACAGATCAATTAACATATCTATAAACTATTCATTTGAAATTTATAAAAGAAGCCTGGCTGTAAAGTGCTAAAAAACCAATATACACCACAAGGTGGCGGTATTGTGCCATCAGGGTGGGAGTTTATCACTGTTACACAACCGGAAGTAGGAACTAGTAGAAGATAGTGGATCACAGGTGATCTCCGAGAGACTGTTGGACCCTCAGAGCCTTTAACAGACAGCTGGGTGGGCCGAACCAGTTACCAGAATGAAAACTAGGTCCGTAAAACATTTCATTTAACCCCGAACTGCTGAAGCTGAGTTCGGCTGTTTGCTTCGGAAAAAGAGGCTAATTTTCCTCCCAGAACCGGAGCCAGCAGCCTACAGGAACCGCTGAGGACACAGAGACAGAGGGACAGACAGGGATCCGCTCAGTGAGTAACTCTGCTGCACATACAGCTGTTATAGACCCACTGGAGATGAAATCAACTGCTAACAATCTATGTGCGACGCCCCCTGTGTTTAAAGGGCAGGTAGCTGTGATGAGGCCTGTTTAAAATACTTTCAATGCAACGTTTTATATCTGTGAAGATTCTCATCCAGTCATCCAGGTCTTGGTTAAGCAGTGAGATAAATATACTCTGGGTCTAATTAGGTAGCTTTGATTGGATCGACCAAGGTGTCCTCCTCTGTTAACAGCTAATCTGGTTCTCCAGGATTCATCTGAAGATGTTTTACAACTGATTGAGGACCTTTACTTCATATTTTCAGATAGTTATTATAAACAGGGTTAATATAAGCTGTTTTGCTGATATATGGTTGTCATTTATGAGCATATACCCCCAGGCGCCGGTGTGCTTATCTATTACTCAGTTTGGATAAATGAAAGTTCCTCATGAAAAAATAGGAGTCAGTAAAAGGAAAACTGAGGGAGACAAGATCTGCATGATCTGAAAATGTTGGTTTCAGAGGCAACCGCCTGCTTACTGTTCATTTATTAATTTGTGTTGGCTAATAATAGCATAATAATAATAATATCTGTGATGAGATTATTCCAGAAAAACCCTAGTATCAAATTTTTCAGCCCCCAATAGAGTCCCCTCCGTCTCTCTGTGAGGTCTAGAATGACAAGATCTATTTTTCTTAATATATGCGATCAAGTTGGCGTTTCTTGTTATTACATTGATATTCATTTATGCCATTAAAATATACATATTTTCTTAATGTTGCAAAGGTAATAAGGTCTTGTCTGGGATTCCAATAACACGCTACAAAAGTGATCTATAAATTTGTGAAAATGTCTTAAAATAAGTGTATTTATCCTTAATTTGAGTACATAAATAAGAAAATCTCCCAGTGGATGGAGCATTTTTAACCTTAAATTCAGATTGTTTGATATTATGTATGTATTTTTCTTATTTTAAAGGTAAATGTTCTTATTCCATTTGCAAAGTGTCTCACTTACCTGCTCAATTAAAGAACAGAATGCACTTATTTTAAGAAATTTTACTTACTTCGATTTCAGTTTTTTGCAGTGCACCCTTTGCTTTAAATTTAGATATTTAAAGTCTTTCAGCGAGTGCCCTATAAAGGGTTAACTTTAGTTTTCACTAAATCAGTTACGATCTAATGTTTTTGGATTGGCTTGTGATTATATTATGTCTCTGTTTTAGAATAGTGCAAGACTGATAGAAGAGGAGAGAGGAGGAAGATGGTAAGACTGATGGAACGAACACTGAACTAGAGAGGAGGAAAATAGCAGCACTGATGAAAAGAACAGTTGAAGAAGATAAAGTAAAGCAGACAGATGCCAGAAGAGGGCTAGAAAGAAAATGACCTCAGTAACCATCCAGAGATACCTGGTTTAATCAGATTTTCCAGTAATGAAAGACAGGAAACAAAGGAGCTGCTGAAGTTCAGGAAGTAATGGAGCTGTGCATAAAGTCCGTTAGAAGGAGAATCTGTCTGAAAGGAGATGTACTTGCGATTCACTTTATCTCATTTATTTCAAATTATAACAAAGGCAAAATAGGCAACATTTACAAAAAAATTAGTGATATTCGTTTCAGATTATAAATGACTAAAATTCTGTTTATTTATAGATAATATGCTTATTTTTGTCCAATTTTAATGGTCATAAATGTACATTTTACAAAAATGAACCAATTTCTACAGCATTTCTTAACGGTTCGACCAAATTAAGAGACACTTTGATAATATGCAACTTAAAGAAAGCACAATGACTTTATAAACATCCATCTCTACCTCCCTCCCATAGTGGGACCAGTGCCTGTCTCTGGTAGTCTATGGGAGAAAGGTGGGGTCACCAGGGCTTTATAATCGTATAAAAAATGATTTTAATTTTGCTCCAGCTGATATAGGTGTATTTGCTTATGTTTGTTTATGTTCCAATTTTACTCTCGTGGCATATGATTTTTATGTTCTTTGTTATTGTTTATTGACATTTTGTATTGTAATGAATTTTTCAATTTATACACGAATGAAAGATAAAACAAGCACAAAAAAAAGCTAGGAAAATTACACTAATAAGTTTTTAACAGACCTGGTCTTTACAATCTGCTTTTTGTGACCAGCATGTCTGTTGAACAAAATAATCTGCAATCATTTCAACTTGTTTACATATTCTGTTAATCTAATATACCAATAGTCTCACTCCCAACTCATAATATATTGACGCTTGGTCAAGTCCACTGTGCATCAGATACTGACGCGACGGCGATACCTCTCTCATCAGTAACTGAGACGCAGGGTTTATGACAATGACAGTCTGTAGCAGGAACTTCCAAAAATGTTTCCATGAGCTGTGAAGTAAAAACTGTTGTGGGAAAAAAAGTATTCAAATATTCACCCCAGTTAAACAAACAGAGATCGATGGTACTTTATTTTATCTTTGTGTGGCGACATTAGGGGGAACTCAGAAATTTTGTGCAATTTAAATATTTGAACCCAAATAAATTTCTCAACAATGCCTCCCTGAGAATTTCACTCAGGGAATATTACCCTCTTTTTAAGGTACACAGGTTCATTCAAAAAAAGATTTAAAAATGGTTGGTTTCCGAGTTTGAAGACGTTTCGCTTCCCATCCAGGAAGCTTTTTCAATTAAAAATGGGAAGCGAAACGTCTTCATACTCGGAAACCAAGTCCAGTGGATTGTTTTACATTTTTTTGGAATGTCTATAACCCGGATGACTAAGAACCTTCATCAGCAAACGTACACAGGTTCAGTTATGCAGGGGTTGAGACATCTGAGACAGTTTTAAATTTACACAGAGCTATTTATTCAATTCTTTTTAAAATACTCTTAAAACCATTTCTTTATAATAACAAAAACAGAAAAACAAAAGAAAGTAGAATAGCTGAGTTACCAGCAGAGGGGGCCACTATAGGGACGGCATCCACCAAACACAGCAAACAAACCAAAAAAAAACCTTTAAAGCACCAAACGCAGTGAGACAACCCAAACCCAGGAATCACGGCACACAGACTAAACCTAAAGAAACACCACTATACATGTTACATTACTAAATCTACCAAAGTAACTTTGTAAGCTAAACTTCATTTGTTTGTCACGGGTCACATGATACACTGTCCACAACCTGGCATTTTCCCTGCACGTCACATACTTTAGGGGGACTTTGGCCAAGCGTCAATATGTGCCGAGTTGAGTGTACTGTCACTAGATCCCAAACATAAACCCCTGTATTGTTCAGGATGATTTTTAAAGGCTGAACACAAGTCATCAAACCCCATTAGACCGTATGTACGATGGGTGTGTCATATATGGTTGACAAGGAAGCGCAACACATATGTCCAAACCCGCAAGATCATTTTTTTTTATTAGATGTTTGCACTATTCTGGGCTCTGCAAATATGAAACACCTCACAGTTTTCTGGAAGACCAAGATTGTTGTCCTGCAGTCGGTTTCAGTGTAATTTATTTTTTATTTATATCACAATTTAAGCAAAATATAAAAGAAAAAAGTGCAGAGATAAACTCTGTGTCCTCAATGGTAGTTACAGCAATTTCCCAAATCTGAAACTAAACAGTAGCTGCAGGTTTTGCATCTTTTTTAGTACTTCTGGAAATTAGGTTTATTTCGGGTTGACGCACAAACATATCTGCAGTCATTGTGGTCCCAAAGGAAGCATTGGTACAAGATAATGCAGATACATTCTGTGATCATGTAACATGTGTAAACAGTCAAAAAAGCAATAGTTGTTTTATGTTAATAAAGAATAAATCTGTTCAATCATGTCATCAAACTGATTTTGCTCATCTTATCATTTATGCAGCAATCTTTGTGGATCACCAGCAACATGCCCAGCTATTGAAAAAAGGTTGCATGTCTAATTTAGCACCAATTATTTGGAATCTGTGAAAATAGAAAAGGATACAATATAATAAAAAAATATATACAACAGAAAAATCATTTATGATCCCACAGCAAGGGTATTTTAATGCCACAGCAGCAAACCTACTGGCATTCTGGGTAAAAAGGTGTCACACAAAAACAGAAATTAAAGTCTGTTAAAAAAATTAAAAAAAAGAGTCAGGCCATTGTTTCCAACAACTCTTAGTTTTTTCATCTCCATCAAATATAAACTTTAATAGCCTTCAGCCTCTATTTAACCAGCCTTCTACCAGTCGTCAGTGCCAGATTATTCTCTATCTGGATCTCTGAGCCTGCCTGTCTCCTTTCTAATCTGTTTGCCTGATCTGTCCTCAGAGTCCTGCTGCATTCTGCCTTGTACCGAATCTGGAACTGATTCCTGACACCGTCCTGGATCCCCCTTCGGTACCTGTTTGGATCTGCTTGCCCTGAGTCCTGACTTCCTGGACAGCAGCTTTGGCTTTGCCCTTCGTCTGCTCGGTTCTGATCTCCTGCCTGTTCTCTGACCCACACGGACTTCAGCATCTGGGACTCTCTGGACGGTACCCACTGTGTCTTGTTTGCAGCTGACTGGCTTAAACCAACGTCATCCTCTGGGCTTGGACTGAACCTTATGACCAGGTTAGTCACATGTTCATTATCTATCTCTGCCAGATAGACATGGTCACTAACCTGTGTTCTCTCCCTGCAGAGGTTCCTACCGTAGACACCCTCGCTGTTCACTGCGGATCTGTTCTAAATAAAAGATTTTTTGAGAATTCTGTCTGCCTTAAAAACTAGGTGTTCTAGTTCTGAGCCTTGACAGGATTAACATTTGCTAATCCATATAAGTGCTTTTGTAAAAACATTATATTGGAAATGTCATGTTGTCTGTGGTAGGTCTTCTCTCTCTACAGCTTAAACATTTTATCTGTGAAAAAAGCTGATGCAAAATCAACAAAATATGTATTTATGCTCTACATTCGCATCAGAAACTGACCTGTGAACTATATTTGATTTAACATCGCCGCCATAGTTTAGCCGTATTATCATAAACTGTTTAATATAAAGAAATCATCTATTTAATAACTGTACTGATTTCATGAAATGACAAGGTGCAATTTTTTTTTGGATTCCCATTAAATAACCAATTTTTTCTACTCTATTTGTCTTTTATTCTCCTCTCTTCATCTTTTTGGTAAACATTCACAACAAACTAATGTTGTCAAATATTATCTGACGTCTTCGCCCTTGCAAGTTTAAAATAGCCTTTTATGCTGTTTTTTAAAAGCCGACGCGAAATTCTAAACATATTTAGCTTAAATTTATTCAGGTGAACAATATTCTAATGAAATTTGATCTTAATATGGTTTAGGAATTTAGATGGAATTAGGAAGTACAGGATTATTTTTAGTTATAATATTTCATGAGTTAAAAAAAAAACATTTAAATATTTTAAAGGGGTTATTTAGTTAGATCTGATCGGAAATGCAATAAAAAAAATTAGGAGGCTTATTTTTCCTAGTGTATGTTATTGAAATATTTTTATTTTTCACTAGAAGCACTGAAGTAAAACCACAGGCCTTCACTGAAAGCTGTGTTGTTCTTATACATTTTTAAAGAGCTGTTTTCCAAGAACTAATGTGAAACTTTTTGAAGAGAGGTCATTGTTACGTAAAATGAAACACTAGTATGAAAGCACAATCTGTGTATTTGTTGCCCATGTGTTATCATGGAAAGCTTGTGTTCCCATATATGAAAAAGAATTAACTATTGATAAAGGACTGGTTGCAATTGCCCACCATGAATACTTTTTGTTGAGATGAGGTCTATACCGGATAAAGGACCTTCAGACTTGCTGTTAGTTCATGCTCATCATAACTATCACATTAAATTTAGGAAGGGTTGGGATGAACCACCAGGCAGGGGTTAAAAAATAAATCCTTCAACGATTGATATGTGCCTTTAATGGTTTGTTCATTTTTATTATAGGGACAACAGCTTAAAAAAATTACTTTGAATGCTACATTTTGATGTAGAAAAAATATGTTTCTACATCACTTGTATAAAAAGTGAAGAAATAATCTATTTCAGTCTATTTTCACCCTTAAAATTGCATTTTAGAAGAAAAGAAAAAAAGAAAAAAACTTAAGCTATTTGATCTACGTGATCTACTGTAATGAAAACAGAAAATTTGGCCCAAATTTGAAAATAAGAAGAGAAAAGGATAATTAAGGGTGGAGAATGAACTGTACTGACTGGTTTATGAAGTGTGCAAGGAAGATTGAAGAAATACTTTGAAGAATTGATCAATGATGAAGATAAGAAAAATTAGAGAGGAAGGTTACCGTTGTGAATCAGGGAGTAGCATCGATTAGAAAGGAGGAAATAACTGAAAGAGATGATTTACCACTTTAAGCAAAGCACATCAGCGGGACAGGTTGAGTAGGCTATGAAAATATATTTTGAAGAACTTGAAAATGCCTATCTGGATTATTTGATTGAACTGATTCTGTAACTTGCTTAAAGATGATGCATTGGGAATTGACACTATAAATAGGAACAGAATTTCACTAAAAGTGAGTTAAGAGTCAAATGAAGATCTAAAACAAACAGGAAAATGTTCCTGAGGACCAGGATTCAACACCCGTGATTTGTGCCTGTACAAATAAGGGCCTGCATTTCATTTTCATCAGGAAAAAAAACAGTTGATGAATGAACTCTAGTCATAACTTGTATCTTTGAACTAATATATTTTAACTGTTATTCTACTGAATTAAAGAAGAATAAATAACTGTTTGAGGTCTGCAGCTTAAATGTGGGTGTTAAATCTTCCATTTGTTTTGTTTTTCAGATTTTCCACATTATGTCAATTGTGAAGCAAGATGGACTTGCTCATCATTTTATCCACAATGATAAAGTTACCTCTGCTGTTGATCAGAGAGGACCAGAATCTCTCAAATCTAAAAGGAAAGAGGAGGAACCAGAACCCACACAGCTAAAAGAAGAGTATGGACCAGAACCACTGCGGAAAATGAATAAAGACCAGCTGGAACCAAAACAGGGTTTAGATACCCTGGTAACAGAATCTGGATCTCTTGCAATAAAAGAAGAACCAGAGGAAAAAGAAGTCAGGAAAGATGATTGTGAAGCAGAAGCTCATCAGATAGTAAAGACTGAAGCTGAAGACACTGAACAGGATGAGAAGCATGATGCACAACAGCACTTGACTAATACAACAACAGTAATAAATTCTGGATCACTTGAAGTAGAGGAGGAACCAGTAAAACTAGAACCTAAACAAATGAAGGCAGAGGAGCACGGATCGTATCCTCAGCAGATTATAAAACAAGAGGCCGACACCATCATTCAGTATGAAAACCAGGATATTCTGAAGCTGGAAATTGACTCCTCAATCCTGACTGCTTCTGATAAAGAAATCAACCACCATCAACCCGAATCAAATGTAAACCAAATAGTTTTTAATAAACTCTTAAAAGCAGAGTGCTTTCCGGGAAAGGACATTTATGAATCATCAGGATCCAGCAGAGATGGACAGCAGCTAAAAAGAGCTCAGAAAACCACAGGTCCAAATGACAAGGTGGAGAAAATAGTAGATAAGAATAGATTCTATGGTAAAAAATGTAAATGCTGTGAAATATGTGGTAAAAGTTTCAAATCTAATAAGGATTTAACAGTTCATATGAGAACTCACACAGGAGAGAGACCTTACTCATGTGTAACCTGTGGAAAGTGTTTCAGTCACAAATGTACTTTGACTTCACACCTAAGAACTCACACAGGTCTAAAGCCTTTCTCATGTCTGACCTGTGGGAAGAGTTTTGGCCAGAGAGGTCACTTATCTTCTCACCTGAGAGCACATACAGGAGAGAGGCCTTTCCTATGTGTAACTTGTGGAAAGGCTTTCAGTAGAAAAAGTTATTTATCTCATCACCAGAGAATTCATACAGGAGAGAAGCCTTTTTCATGTTTAATCTGTGGAAAATGTTTCACTCTCAAAACAACTTTAACTTTGCACTTAAAAACTCATAGTGGTGAGAAGCCTGTTTCATGTATGGCTTGTGGCAAAAGTTTTAGCCAGAGAGGATACTTATCTGCTCACCTGAGAGCTCATACAGGAGAGCGCCCTTTCGCTTGTATAGAATGTGGAAAGGTTTTCAGTCAGAAAAGTAGTTTAAATCGCCACCAGGAAGCTCATACTGGGGAGAAGCCCTTTTCATGCATAAACTGCGGCAAAGGTTTTATTCATAAAAGTTACTTGAACAGCCACATGAGAGTACACACAGGAGAGAAGCCTTTTGAATGTATGGCATGCGGAAGAGGTTTTGTTCGAAAGTGTCATTTGGACAGTCACATGAGGGGTCATAGAGGTGAGAAGTCTTTCTCATGTATAACTTGTGGAAAAGGTTTTAATGAAAAACGCAGCTTAAATAGCCACATGAGAAGTCATACAGGTGAAAAGCCGTACCCATGTATAACATGTGGGAAAGCTTTCAATGATAAAGCTGCATTGAATGTTCACATGAGAGTTCATACAGGAGAAAAGCCTTTCTCATGTATAACCTGTAAAAAATGTTTCAATCAAAAAGTTAGTCTGATAAGCCACATGAGAACTCACACAGGAGAGAAACCTTTTTCATGTATGATCTGCCAAAAACGGTTTACAGTAAAGTCTAATTTGGATAACCACATGAAGACCCATACAGGAGAGAAGCCGTTCTCATGTACAACCTGCGGAAAATATTTCAGTCGCAAAGCTCACTTGAATGGCCACACAAAAACTCATACCGGAGAGAAGCCTTTCCCTTGTACAACCTGTGGCAAAAATTTCCGTCGCAAAGCTCATTTAAATAATCACATGAGAACTCATTCAGGAAAGATGTCTTTTTCGTGCATAACCTGCGGAAACATGTTTACACATGACAATGATTTAAATAGCCACATGGGGCTTCATGGTGGAGAAACCCCTTACTCATGTATAGCCTGTTGGAAGGGTTTTAATTAAAAATAAAAGTTCTGCTTGTTTTGGAACTCATACAGGGGTCTGTTTCACAAAGCAGGTTTGACAAACTCAGATTTAAATCCTCAGCTCTAAACTGAATTAGCCTCAGTTTGGAAACTCTTGAGTTTTCAGTTTCAGTAAGGCTGTTCTTGTTCAGTAAACTGCTGTCCTCTGTCTTGGTTCTCCTTAGTGCTAATCACATTATTTTATTTCCTAATTTAGTTCAAAGATTTCTGTTTTAGTTTTGTGCGCACACAAAAAAAAATCATTCACTAGGTCCGTTTGACACATTAGCTTTTAAAAACAAATATTGCATGAAGAGGATCCTATTAAAGAATTATTGCCATAAATTCACAAAGAAATATTTATAGGGATTGGATTCTACAACTCAGCTGACAGGCTATGAGATTTATTGGAGTTTGTTTTGTTAAATATGGGCGACATGCAGATATTTTTTTCTTTTTTTTTTTTTTTACAGTACATGAAGAACTCAGATTATTTTCAGATTACACTTAAATAGATTAATTAATTTCATGGGGGAAAAGTAATTACTAAAGAATTAGGATTCCTTCAGTGATAACAACAATCTACTGAGCCTAATAACGGGCATTTATTTGTATTACAACAACCGAAGCAGCTACAAACAGCCACTTAATATTTACTGCGTAATGGAAGACAGAATCAAAATGAGGAGGAACCCCATGAGATGATGCACGGGTCTTACCTGTTAGAACAACATTTTGATACCCCAACTTCACTATGTAATGTTATCATAGTTTCCACAGGGTATGGCAAGCCATTTTGATATGTATTAGTTTGACTGGAGGTGTATTTCACATATCTGAAAAAACATTGTGTTCTTGTCATAATGGCCATTTCAAACAAAATGACGTCCTTCACATCTAGAATAGAAATTCTGGATGTCTAGAGTTGAATTTCAGATCCTCATGTTCCTATTGTTACTGGTCATCATTTGTATTATTTTGACTATGAAGAAATGTATATCGGATATCATAAATACATATTCAGTCAAGCTGGTAAATGACAAAATGACCACTTAAAATGTGTAAACAGTTTTTTTTTTTTTTTAACAGTGTCCTGTCTGGCAATGTGGCAATAAGAATAATTGTCTTGATGCCAAAAAGAGCCCAACAGATTTAACTTTCACAAGTGAAGCAGTAGGGCTATCGCCATAGAAAAAGATGAAGGAAAGAGGAGATAAAAGGGAAATAAAACATTTTCAGTCTGCTTCATCTCCTGCCAAGAGATGTAAAAACAACCGCACAACCAACGGACATGTTACGGGACATACAATAAAGTAACACCTAGATACTATCGCTGAAGTATAAGTAGTATTATTTAATCTGGCATGAATTCTTTGTTACCTGAAGATAAGAATGTGGGCTTTCTGTATGGAAGTGAATCTCTTAGTACCTGGAACCAAGCGCCTGTAGGTGTTTGTAGAGGTGCACTTGTGCATATAAAGATTATCCAAAGGTAAAAATGCTCAATAGTGGTTGTGTAAACAGTTCTAAATATATAAAACTCAGTTGTTACTTCTTCTATTTATTTTTTTTAACCTTCTGAAATTCAGTTTCTGCTGGCCAAAATTTAATATTTAGAACTTCTATTATTACAGTTCTGATTAGGAATGTGATTTTTAACAGGAAGTTATCCACAAACAGAACAACACAGAGGAGTGTGCATTTAAAAAATGTAAAAAAAAAAAATGAATAAAGACCTTCCATATGATCCATGCATTAACTTGCAGCAATCTTCTCCCATGCAATCTCCCTCTCCTTTGGAGCTGTAGCTTTGTTGCTCTTTAAAAAAAAAACTTTTTCCTATTAGTTTTTTTCATTTCTGCATTAACATCTCTAGTTCCAGTTGGGTAAAATAAGTACTTTCTGTTGCTTGTCATCATCATATTTGTTACGCACGTGCCTCACTCACAGCAGCCTTTGTGAGACCAAAAACACAGTTTCCAACCTTAGGCTAAATCAATTCAGAGTTGAGGATTTGAATTTGGAGTTTGTTAAACATGCTATGTAAAATGGACCCCACTTGAAACATAACCTATATAAGCCTTTAGCTAAAGAAATTATTTGAGATATCTCAGGACAAATCATGCATTCCTCAAAACATTTTCTTGTAAGGAGCAAAATCAAATATTGATAAACCAAAGTGTACCTGAAAATACTCTCACTTAAAAAAAAAATCATCTGAGGCTTTGCTGACTCTGGTACATTGACTAAGCCTTAGGAAAAATATGTGCAGTTCAATTAAATAGCCATAGAAAGAAAGTTTATCTTATTCAGTTTTCAGTAACAGAACAAGTACCGGTAACAAGTGCTGTACAAGGACATAACACACAGGAAAGTACATTGCTTATGCATAAACAAGACACATTAAAGATTAACAGTGTTGAGCAGGAACACTTATTTATCTAGTATATACTTTGTTGGATATTTAGTGCTGTACAAAAGATTCAGGTTTGACTAATGCATCTCTTGAGTAGAAACAACTGTTCACCTCATCTATAGTCATCAACATGTCAGTGTTTTCTGGTCTGATATACATAGTTGGATCTTACTCGTTAATCTTGAGATCATTTTTACTAAATACTTATTCATATGTGCAAATGAAAGAATATCACTTTATTTGTTTTAATTAAGAAAATACATGTCTTTCAGATGTATTTTCTTAATTATTCAGTCACTTCAGTCCATCTCTAGATTATTAAAATAAAATATGCCATGATAAAAAAAAAAAAAGAAAATATGTTCCCTAACTGTCTTTGTAAACCCACACTCCTCCCAGTCATGGCAGCAGGCTTAAATCTGACACAATCAGCCTTTTACTCAGATTATCTGAAGATATTTTGACATTTGTCTAGGACTCTTTCAAAACTGTCAGTTTGTCTGGGCTACGATTTGCCATTTGCAAAGCTTTTGTTGTATGTTTCCTGATCTATGCCATTATTGCTTCTGTGTTCCTTTATATCCTCTTTATGTACAAAATGCTCTCTTTACAATCTCTGATATGAGAACAACTATATATCTGTCAGTTGTACTGCCTTGATTTATTGTTTTTCACATTTTTGTATAATAAATGATAATAAAGACAGGTGAGGTTGGACTACACACTTTTTTTTAATTTAAAAGTTTATATAGCACAGTAAAAATGCAACTAGAAACATGTTTTACATTTGATTTCAACCAACCTAGTGTTGCAGTACTTTTAAATTGTTCTATACGAGTCTTTCAGATAAGTTGAACAGTGAGAAGGAAACAATGCTTCTCAATTTTCTTTCTCGGGTCATCTTAGGCAACTGTAATGTATCATAAAATCTATTGTCTGTGATCCAGATAGCCAGTCTAATATGACCGATGTGCTCTACTTTCTTAGTTTAGTGATGACCCACCTGGGTGATTATGGATCAGCTAAAGTTGTCTGATCTAGTTTTTAGGCAGATCTGTGAGGAGACTGTTGCAGGAATCAAATCAACTGAAGATGCATGTATGGGTTCAGGTTAAGGTTTTTCTAGGTCAGTCTTAATCCTGGAAATGTTCAAAATAGGATGCACCCAATAACAGTGTAGCACACATAGACGTCGTTTACTGTTAAAAAAATGAACATCCAGCTCTCCCATCTTTCTGGCCATTATATACACACCATCATATGATCATCACCATCACATCATCATAGGATGGGTCCATTTAGAAATGATAAACAGACATCTATGTATGTAAAGGTGTTTCTTTGTTTTTCCTTTTACAGCTGCACATTTCAAGTTTTCAGTTTTCAAGTATTTAATTAAGATAAACTGTAGTGGATTAGAAATATACATTTCAGTTCACAAGTGGGCCAGTTCAATACAGTTTGGTTCAGGTTTAATGATGCAGAAAACAACAATCTGTTGGTACAATTTATTTATGTCGTTTTATAATAATAAATAAGTGCTATCAAATATTTACTCATGTGCTTGCATTAATTATCTTTGGCCATGCTTTTTTTTTTTTAAATAAATAATTGCCCCAAATTTTATTTGGTGCCTATTGTGCCCCTGTATAGTATTGGGTCAGCTGACGCCCCTGCTCCGGACGGGAGGAGCCACGGAGGATGAACTTTGCTTTGCGCAGGCGCAGGCGCACTGGAGCGCAGCGGGGCGGAGCGTTTGCGGAGGATGTGGGATTTCGGGGTTGAGGGTTCTAGTTACTCACTGAACAGGATCCCTTTCTGTCCCTCTGTCTCCTCTGCGGCTAATGGACGCTGCGGGCTCAGCTTCTGGAAGGAAAATCAGCCTCTTTTTTTATTTTGTTGCAAAAAAAGAACATACAAGAACACTATAGAACATTATTAATTACAAACAGATACAACATCAAAGGGCTTTATAAAACAGAACAATTTTACGATGTCAAAATCAAATCTGTGCTCGAGGGTTGCAAATCTTTAAGGGCAGTTATGATTTTAATGGCTTTAGCATTTGAACTGAATTCTAAAGATTCTATATAGATATTATTGGAAGATAATAAAATCTGGAAATTAGGTTTTTGTTGTAAATATTTGGAGGTGTGTATATGATATTTACCATAAATAATAAAAAGAAAATTAACAAAATATAAGAATTGTGCTTTGACATGTTCACATTTCTCCATCCCAAACAAAACATCCTTATCTGTTAAAGTAATATTGAGATTTCTTTGATGAAAAAAAGTGACATATCTCTCCAGAATATTTTTGTTACAATCCCAAAAAAGATGAATAAGCTTTTCTTCATTATTTTTACAAAAAGTACACATTTGGTCCAAATCCCATTTATATCTCTTTTTAAAAAATGCATTAACAGGATAAACGTTATGAATAATTGTATAAGAAATTTCTCTTATTTTGTTGTTTATTAAGTATTTTTTAAGGAGCAGCCAAGTCCACTTCCAATTTATATTTTCAAAAATGTTGGACCAATAAAATACACAAGCAGGTGAAAAAACAACATCTCGTAATAGAATATTTCTTAATCTTTTGTTTGTTGTTTTCTTACTTATAAAAGAACAATCAATCAATATAAATGGAGTTTGGATCAAAATTTGGCATTCAGTGAATTTGATGTGTAGGGAAAGATGATAAAAGCTTTAATGACCCACTGGGGATTGCGTCAAACACAACAGCATATTCTTTAGGGGTAACAGGAAATTGGAAAAGTAACATAAAGTCAGAATAAGATAATAAATGGCCATTTGGATTTAGTAATTGGCTTTCAAGTAATATTCCCCTATCAAACCATTTTCTATAAAAGATTGTCTTATTTTTGTATTTAGTGTCTTCATTATTCCAGATATAATATTTATGAGGAGAAAATTTGTGCTTATACAAACGTGACCAGCTTAACAGCATTTGTTTATAAAATGTAGATAATTTTAAGGGTATTTTGGGTATACTGTAATTGCGTCTAAGAAGAAAGGGTAATCCTCCAATTTTGTCAAAGTTGTAAGAGGTTGGGTTTTTTTAGAATATTTTTTAAATATTTAATTTTGAATGAATTGTTTAGAGATGTGAAGTCAAGGGCTTCAATTCCTCCTTTTTCAACTTTATTCATTAGAATATTTTTCTTGATAAGATGGCATTTCTTCTTCCATATTAAGTTAAAGTTTATTTTATTAATGTTGGTACTGATCTGTTTGGGAACATATGTATATACATATATATATATCTATATATATATAGATATATATATATATGTTGGGGGGGTGAAAATAGAATGCATGTATGCTCTGAGAAAAACTGAACAACACAACAAATGGCGCTTAAAATCCGCTAATAATTATTTTAGCAGCACAAGCTTTTCAAAGCTTAACGTAAGCAAACAAAGTAATTATGACATGAAATGGAAAAATTTTTACTTTTATATGGATGAAAGGGCAGCTCCTGTTGGTTACCATTATGTTCAGATGCTCACAGCAACCCTGTCTGTCTTTTACATTTCTGAATTGCATTTAGAACATTTCACCTTTTATTATTTGTCTTTTTTTAACCAAAATCCATCCATGGAAAAAAATGACTAGCATTCTTAGACTAGAATGAAAATGTAACATGAGAACATGTTCATGGATCGTACGTACTATGGAGGTTTAGTGTATTTTTTACAAGGGACATTTAGTTGCTGCCAGCAGGGAGATGATCAGTTTCTGTCTTCTCCCCGTTAGTCCTGTCAGGGTCGCGGTTGGGCCAGTAGCCTGGCAGTCTATGGGGCAATAGCAGGGCACACCTGGACAGGTCGCCACAGAGACACACATGCGCACACATACTCACACCTAAGGACTACTTAGCCAATTATCTTAACAGTCAGGTTTTTGGACCGTTGAAGGAAGCCAGGGTACCTGGAGAAAACCCACGTGTGCACAGAGAGAACATGTAAACTCCATGCAGGAAGACCCTGGGAATCGAACCCAGAACCTTCTTGTTGCAAAGGCAACAAGGCTACCCACTGCAGCCCCATACAGTATTTACACATAAAAATAGGTGGAATGAATTCACTTCAACCATGAAGTTTATTTGCTCTATCTTGAGCTCCCCACATCAGAACCTGATGGTAAATGAGTTT